ATTTCACATAACATAATATCCTCAGTTCCATCCATGTTGCTGCAAATGACAGGATTTCATACTTTATAGCTGAATACTAATCTATTGTGTTGTATATACTGGATTTTTAGAAGTATTGATCTTTAAAAATCAGTTCAAAACTCTTGGCTGGAGATGCCCTCTATAGGACTTTGGAAGTCTACGTAACCCAAAATGCTTACTACTAATGTGTACCTTAAAGGACACATACCTGAGTAACACATGTTTTTCTACTTCAGTTGATCCACACGGATGGCAGTTATGGAGGTGGAAGATAAGGGAATAAATCCTAATGAAAAGTGGTTAAAGAAGTGGAAGCTGAAGTCAAACAGCTGGGGCCCAAGACCACTTCCTGGCAGTGGGACATTTAGCAACTTTTATTTTAATTTGTAAAATAGGGATGAAAAGAGTACTTGCCCATAAGATCATTCAAAAGATTAGGTGAAATGATAGATGGGAATTATAGTACCACCAAGGCCACAAAGAAAGAGAACTGACTGAGGCTATTAAAACACACGTGTTCATACCCATGTGCATGTACACACACACACACACACACACACACACCCCAGAATGTGAGAACAATTCAGTTTTATACAATCAGAGATAATAAATTTGGAAGTAGTGGAGCTAATGATGGCTGTGCAGACGAGATTATGAAAAATAACAAAAGAGAGTTGCTGAAGTGCAGATGGAGAGTCCCACATCAAATGTTCCAAAGGTCCAACTGGGAAGCTAACTATCACCTTATGGAGAGGATTAAGATGTCTTAAAAAAAGACAGGAGCCAGATGCCGGTGGCTCATGCCTATAATCCTAGCTACTCAAGAGTCAGAGATCAAGAGGTTTGTGGTTGGAAGCCAGCGGGGGCAAAAGTTCGAGAGACCCTATCTCAAAATACCCATCACAACTAAAGGCTGGTGGAGTGGTTCGGGGTGTACGCCCTGAGTTCAAGCCCAAGTACTGAAAAAAAGCCTTTTCTGAATGTGGGATTAGGTTTGAACTCAGGGTCTCACACTTGTTAAGCAGGCACTCTACCACTTGAGCCACTTGGCCAGGCCCTCAACAGTTTTTTAATCTGTAGCAAATTCCTGAAGCTGTAATTGATTCCCATTTGGAACCTTCCACAGCTCCAAATGATGTGCAAGGACTTACCAAAGTCCCACTGAATGGACTTTGAAAACGAATGGCCTGCACTGGCTAATGGCCAAGCACAATTTAACACCAAAGAAGGAAAAATGTCATGATGTGATGCCAATAATCTACCTGGCCAGAAGGAATTGAAGAGAAGGCAAATGAGCCCAACACCACAAAAATGATCTGGGAGCAAGTTAAATGTGATGCACATGCAGAACAAGAAAATAGGCATTAAAAATGGTCAGAAAATGGGGTTGATCCCAAGAGGAGAAGAAAACAGAAGTAGCACGTGCTTTTTAAAAATAGCTTTAATAGACCACAGGCCTTAGAGTAAAATAAGAGCATTCAATCAAGAATGGAGGTGGGGGAGAGAAAACAGCTTAAAGTGTTATTACATTGTTACCATAGCAATGAGGTGATTTTGAAAAAACGAATGATCCCACAGCTGAAGTGATTAGCAATGGTGAGATTAAATATGAATCTGAAAAATAATCAGTACTATTATAATTTGCTTGAAATTATAAAACTGTCAATATAAACACTAGTGTAGTGTTGACCAAAACTTGGAAAAGAAGGAAATCAAATGCCCAAATGTGGAAAAAAAAAATCCTAGCTAGCATTTTTGCCCTTAATGCAGAGAAACTAAAGCAGATACCTGAAAAGCAACTGAGGCCAATAGGAAAAGGGGACCAGGAACTAGAGAAAAGGTTAGATCAAAAAGAATTAACCTAGAAGGTAACACCCACGCACAGGAAATCAATGTGAGTCAACTCCCTGTATAGCTATCCTTATCTCAACCAGCAAAAACCCTTGTTCCTTCCTATTATTGCTTATACTCTCTCTACAACAAAATTAGAAATAAGGGAAAAATAGTTTCTGCTGGGTATTGAGGGGGTGGGGGGGAGAGGGAGGGGGTGGAGTGGGTGGTAAGGGAGGGGGTGGGGGCAGGGGGGAAAAATGAACCAAGCCTTGTATGCACATATGAATAATAAAAGAAAAAAAAAGATGATAAATACTTGCTAGCATCTTAATATGGTCATAAATAAAATGTATCATTTATTCTAAACCCTAATAAAATAGTATGTGACCTTTTCTCCTTGCTATGCTTTTAAAATGTAAAGAAATAAAATATTCCAAGTCAGAATAAAAAAAAAAGGTGGACTGATAGACCTTATTAACATAACAAAAGAAAAATGCACCAATCAGAATGGAGTTGTTCTTCTGACATGGTGAAACCAATACAATTATGGGGCATAGACAGGCATGGAGTGAAGGTTCTCCCACCTTGGTTATAATTACATTGGTAACATCAACCCTGTCATTCCTTTGGGGGACATGAACACAGAAAGCTCTTTTAGCTAGAAATTTTTTAAGTAATCAGATACCTAGCTCAGTAGCAACTATCAGGTTATAAATGGCCAGCCCATACCCACTGGCAGAAAGGGAGAATGTCACTGAAGTCAGTATGTACTGCTGGATTTACCTTTCAAATGACTAAACTGCTGTTGTCTTACTATACAACAGTCTCATGAGTTGGAATAATGTGAAATCATTTCTATAAGATGGACTTTGTTTTGTGTGCTGAACACACCATATTCCTGAGTCTATTATACCTAAAATAAGGCCTACACCCAGGAAATTCACCAAAGTAGAAGGGTAGAGGGAGGGTATCTCGTGTTGTAGCTAATGTTTCAACCCTAAGTGGCAACTTCCTGCTCACTGTTAGCACTGAATGCCTTCCTTCTTTAAATTCAATATGCACAGGGTCAAAATGACTCTCTCTCTCTCCCCGCCTCTCTCTCCTTCTCTCTCATTTCTCTCTCCATAGTAGAGATAACTGGGAAGGATCACAGTTGTTAAGAATTTTTTTCTTAATTTCTGTGTTTAAGAAAGTACAGATGAATAAGTATTCAGAAATAATTATTTCCTAGTTAGATTATTCCAACTATAGCCTGCAATTAATGTGCATCTGGGTAATGCATGTTTTTCCAAATTAATTAGATGCTACAAGTTTGAAAACAGATATCCTAAGATCACAAACACAAATAAATCATATATCACACAGATATTCACAAGTAACATAAGAACTTGAGAAGTATTACATAAAAAGCCAATAATGTTTTAAATATAAGTGCCATATCTAATTTATGAGAACACACTTGGTGAAAACTGTACACAAAGCTTAGAAAGACAATAACATAATGGTTACATGAAAAACACAAAGACTCTGAAGCTTCCGCAAAGCAAGTAGTGATTAACAATAGTCACAGGTATGGCTAGATCACGTTTTGCTTCAAAGAGGTGAAGAGAGTTGGCATTACTTACAAACTGATTACAATTTTGCCTTCCTTTCTAGCCTCTGATTAAATTTTGACCTTTTTTTTCCTTTTGATAATACCTTAGTGCTTACTTTCTAAATGTCCTGGATTTAGTTGTTTTCTGCTCCCATTCACAAATCACTCGTTGTCCTTATCAACATCCCTTCAAATGGTTTTTTAAAACAATTATAATTTACAGGTGAAATGACGTGGTGCCAGGGAGTAATGGGGACATGGAGAGAATATGCGTGAAACAACACTGGCCATGAGGAGCTCACTGTTGGAGTTAGGAAATAGGCACACAGGAGTTGATGAAACTATGTTTAAATTTTTCTATAATGAAAAAACCAAAAATAAAACCTTCTTAATAGTGATGGTATATACCTTGTGAAATGATGTTCTGGTGAAGGGCACATAAAGTAAACTAAAGTCAGAAGAAATAGTATGCTGCTCCTCATTGGCTCAGATATGATTTAAACCTAATCCATAATTCTAAACAGCACTTTGAGGTACACTGCCTAAAGACACACAATGAGGCCAGGCTCTTTCCTAAATACTCTCCTTACATTACATGTCAAAAACGACAACCATCCAGGTAACCGTAGTTATTCTTATTTAGGTTCAAGTTTAGCCATAAGCTTTTTGGCAATCAAAGTAAAAACAGCAGTATAGTGAGTAATAAATTTTATTTAAAAAAATAAAAAACCTATTAAGTAAATTTTCCCTGACATTAAATTCTAAAGTCTGAATGAATTTTTAGTATTTTATTACAATACAAAGGACATTCTATAGCATAATGGACAATGGCTTTGACATTGTTTCACAGGTGAAGTGTTCCACATATGGTCAGTACTTGAATCATTTTTTCCTCAACACCAAGGGCTTTTCACATTTGGCTCAGTGAAGTAAAAATGACTCTATAGTACTCAAGTCATGTTAGCTCTTTAATATCAACTATCAAGTCAGAATCAAGAAAGTTCTCCCATATTTGCTGAATAGAATTCTCTCAGCAAGGTTTTTGGTAGTGGCCTAATTTAAATCAATTCAAAATACATTTTCTGAGGCTAGAGAGGTATCTCAGTGGTGTAGTGCTTGCCTAGACTTCACAAGAACTAGGTTCTATCCCCAGCATCACAAAACAAACCAAAACAAACAAAAAAGGATTGTACCTTCTAGTGAGAGTCCATCCATACGTGAATTACAGAAAGATTCTTATGGTTTGGATTGGGCATGAGGTTTTGAGATGACCTTTAAATTATACATATAATTTTTATACATTAAAATATATATTAAATCTCTCTCAGCTTATAAACTAAAAAGAGGGGGTTATGGACTAGGGCTTTGTTACATCTGTACTAGTTTATGTAGCTTTAGGTAACAACTAACTTTTCTGAAACCTGTTTCTTCATCTCAAAACTATACGATTCAAGTAAATGCTTCATCTACTTTGAGGCACGTGTTGGATCACTCCAATCTTTCCAAACATGAAAAAATCTTAAGGAGTCATTAGTAAGAAAGTTTATCTCACCAGTATTGTATCTTGATTGTTCTTGCTGGATTCAACTTCAATCACTGCCTTACATTCCTGTGCATGGTTTAGACTCTGCCTCCTTTTCATTTCCGAAGAGGAGGTCTATAGCAAAGTATTAACATAAAATACACTAAGATTAGTAGCAGTCACTTAAACCTCTTTCACTCATTACTTCTTTCAGCCTCTATTAACAGCAGCATAATGCGGGGAAAAGTCAGTATCTGATCTTTGCCTTCAGTAAATATATGATTTGAATGATGTGATGATTCATACCTATAATCCCAGCACTTGGGAGAATGTGGCAGGAGGATCATGAATTTGAGGACTGCCTGGGCTACATAGCAAGTTAGAGGCTAGCCTCAGCTACATAGTGAGGCCCTATCTCAAAAAAAAAAAGAATAAAGAAACATGTAATGAGTACATGTAAAGATTAACTAACAAAACACAATTTTTATGAAGAATGTCACAAGGCAAATTAAGTATGAATGAGTAAATTCAAGAGCCTTTTAGCAATTTGCAAAAATCTGCATGAATTAGTACTCTGTAAAGATTTGTGTGAATTACTGTCCATATCCTAAATAAATACTGTCTCGTGTGAATATGTTCTCGTGTGAATAGGTAGATGTTGCTAGGAGGAGAAGCTATAATTCATTTTAAAACACCTATGATGTTCTCTGATTACACAGCAATTAGTCAATGCATACTGCATATACCTATCATTATGTGGAATGTTTGCAGGCATTGTTCTACATTGAAAACATTTCTTCATACTTGAAAAGGTGAGGAAACACTGAAACGAAAAGCTTATGATGCAGGAAAAGTCTCCCAAAATTGGAGTGGCTAAGGGTAGACGCTCAGCTTCTTGAGGGCGGGACTCTGTCTTACTAATATCTGAATCCTCAGTGCCTGGGCCTGAATAAATGATTATATATGTTTCTTGAGTGAAGTGAATTTGAAAAGGGATTTGAGGGAAAATTCAAAGGAATTAAAAGGTGCAGATACATGGAACAATAAGCATATTATTATTACCAAGAGCCTTATTTTCATGAAATGGGAAGGGGGAGGATTTGTTTCAGATAAATTAAGTGGAATCTTGTGAGAAAAAAATGAATGTGATCAAAACAATTCTCTAGGAAGAATAATAAGCTAATTAATTACTTATATTAATAAAGATAAGCTGTACTACATGAAAACTAAAATAATTGCTAATTCCAGAGCTGTTTTATCAAGTTTACGAAGCACATGATAAGATTTACTCAGAGCAGATATGCCTTCCTAATTTAAATTTAATTATACTTCCTTCACCTCCTCTGTCTGGTAGTGTCAATGCCTGGTGTGTTTATTGGACAGGAGATTAGAAACTTATTGGAAATAACCCTCAAGTAGACCAAAAGTGTTCCAATTGTTTAAAACCTAATTAAATTAATTTTAAGTTCTTATAAGGAATGTAGTAGTCTTCTGACCATTTTCATAAGTATAGAATGTCTTCTGAAGTGAAATTACCTTCCCTACCCAAGAGCTGATATGCATCCTGTCTCCATTTCCTCATGGTTCATTTACTAATCAATTAGTTTTAATATGATTTCTACCCTCTTAACTCCAACAACAAAATATTCCTGAGATCATTACAATTACCTTTATTTATTTTTTTTTATTATTTTATTATTCATATGTGCATACAAGGCTTGGGTCATTTCTCCCCTCTGCCCACACCCTCTCCCTTACCACCCACTCTACAATTACCTTTAAATCATTAAATCAAAGGAATTTTTCAGGCCATTGGCCAGTTGAGTTGGCCTCTCTACAGAATTTAGCACTCTTGGCCACCTCTCCTTCAAATGTCTTCTTTCCCTTTTGTATGTAATGATATAACAAATTCCTGGTTTCTTCCTTTACTGATCAGGCGATTGCTTCACAATTATATACTTATCTTCTTATCCTAAAGTTTTCGACTAGTCTTTCTTTTATTCTTACCTTTCAATTGCACTCACATTCAGCTATGCAAATACCAAACAGTTTGTCTCCTATGTAAACCTCAATTCTGAAATCCAAATTCACATACGTGACTACTTACTTGACAAGTCCTGTTGGAATTTATATACTATGTAGGTTGAACTAATGTTTCTCTCCACAGCCCAGTAACCCTGTAGGACTCACTATTTCAATAGAAAGAATCACCATACACCAAAGTGAAAGGGCTCAAATATCTGTGCATTCTTTTAATACTTCTTTGCTTCACCCTCTGTATCTAATGTATCACCAAGATAGGACAATATGGCTGCCTCTACCACCATCATTCTTGGGCGGACTACCAAGATTTCCCCCATTCTAACAGTCTCCAAATTGCCCAAGATGACTCTTGTTAAGCATGACTATTAATCAGAATATCATGCACCAGTTATCCATGCTAGTGGACAATGATGAATGTTTCTAATTGCATCTTGATATTGGAGTTGTCAAAGGATAAGCACTAGATTGAATAATGCTTTACTTACATAGAGAAGAGATAGCGAAATCAGCTTCACTGGTGTGCATCAGTTCCCCTATGCTAGTAGGTACCTTTGGTAGCCAAAACAGGGAAATTGCTTAAGTGAACCCCTCTTGGCCTGCAGAAGGATCTTATCCTGTCCCAGAATATGACAGATATAGCAGTGGGGTTGACCAGATGCCATGTGATGCACACACTTAAACAGAATAAAGGATTCACTGTATTTGCAAGAGACTTATAGTCCCCTGAAAGGAGATAAGCCTGCAAACTTCTGTGGGGTCTTTATCTCTTGATAAAGTTCATTTTTGTGTGACCAAGTGTGAAACTGTTTTGCTCTCTACTAACTGTTCTTCCACACTAAGCCAAAGCAATCTTTTCCAAGAACGAGTTCATCAAACTACTACTCTGTGTAAAGCTCGCCAATGGTTTTCCATTGCTTTTAGGATAAATACCAAAGCCCTCCTCAAGGCCTATAGAACACAGATGTTTTTGATTGCTCCCTACAGTTTTGCACCCCAGCCCCTTTCTATCTCTCTTTCCTGACATTTCTCATCCTCTTAAAATACTTTGTATTCATCATTATGTTCCTCTTTAGCAGACACTATTTACATCACTTGGAAATACTCTTCTTTTGCTTTTACCAATTTAATTTAGTTCAATCCTAAAAGCTTAAGGGCCTTTTTCTGGGATGACTTCCCCATCCTATCAGATAGAGTCAAATTCCCCATTATAAGAACTTGTGCTGCTGTTCATAAAAATTGCCACATGGTGTTGTGTATCTGTAGTTGCAGCTACTTGGGAAGCTGAAGCAGGAGAGTAGAATGGATAAATAGCCAGAGTCCATTTCAAAACAAAACAAAGACCCACTAAACAACTGCTACCATTAGAATTTAAATTTGTCTATAAAATGGTTGAATAGCTCTGTTTCCTATCACTAGACTAACTTTAATGAGGATAAGAACCATATGTGGTTTTGTTCACAGTTGGAGCCCCAGCTGGTTTAACTAAGTGAGAAATAATAAGATTTTACACATATGTGTATATGTACATATGTATAAAAAAGTGTAGCTTTATATACATGTACATTTATACATATGTGCTCTACTAAGCTAAAATACTGTTTTAATACCTGGGCACACTCTTAATTTCTCAATCTGTATATGTTTTTAGAGCATGAAACATAAGTATAAAATAGACCAATAAATCCCAAGTCTTCAAATTGCATAGCTAATAAGTTTCTCTGGAATTCAATCATCAAGAAGATATGATTATAAAGTGATAAAACTTTTTATATTACAAATGTGAAGTGCTTTAAACACAGCAAGTGGGCTGATGAATATATGAAACTGTACATTCAAATATGACACATAATTCAAAAGGTCAGAAAAATTAAAAATCTGTAAATGGAAAAATGATTCAACTTGGCCCATATAATCTCAAGAAAAGATCAAAGGGAAAAAAATTCAAAATTAAAAGGAAATGGATTGGAAATATTTTAAGAAGATGAACTACCTAAAAGTGGAATGAGAAAATGCTTCTTTAGGGGGTAAAGATTTTCAAAAACAGTCTGTACACCATTTGCTAAGGATATTACAAAGGAATATATAAGAGTTTTCTATAAAGTAACTATTGTTCACAATAATGCCTTTTGAAAGAAACATGACTAAAATATCTTATTTCCCACCCAGAACAGAAGCTCAGATGAGTTAATACCACCTTCATAGACTGTTGCAATTTATTTAAGTGTTTTCCTTGGTGGACCATAATCACCCTTTAAAAGTGTAATTAATTTTGGAAAAAGTTAAAAGGTATTAGAAGCCAAATTTGGCGAAGCAAGTAGACAATATAGACAACAAATTTTGGCTAACAAAAGATGTAAAATGGAAGTTAATGAGATGTTTGTAATCACTCAACACTAAGTCTGGGATAGGGTAAATGTATTTGTAGGTATCATTATTATTATAATTACAAACTGAATCTGAAGGCAAATTGTAGAAAAGGAATTAAATAATGGTAACACTAAGAATGCATGTGCTATGATTCTTTTAAAAGAAGCGGACACACAAGAATGAAAAACAGGCCACACTAAGGGGAAAGCACTAAAGGCAGAGAGGATAAAAGAAGGAAGTAAAGAAGTTAAATATGGTTGATGTACTTTCTCTATAAGAATGAATATAGAAAGGGCAAAATAGTTTCTGCCTGGTAGAGAGGAGTTGGGGGGGTAAGGGAGGAAGTAGGGAAGTAAGGGGGGGCACAGGAAAGGGGGGAGAAATGACCCAAACATTGTATGCACATATGAATATAATAAAAAAAGAAAAAAAAAGAATGGATATAGAAGACTATTGAAATCACCATAAGAAGAGGACTAAGGTAAAAAGGAGAAAAATGAAGGGGATGGACCAATGTATGTATATAATACATATATACATGGAAATGTCATAATAAAACTCTCTGTATAGATATCTTAAACAAAAATGTCTTTTTTTCAAAAACAGAGAGCAGGAAGGTAAAAAGGTCCTATCTGAGGGTTGGTATGAGTGGAAGGGAGAGGATATAAGGACAGAGTGTAGGAGGATGAATATGGTAGAAATATTATGTACCCATGTATGAAAATGAAAAAGAAAAGACCTGTTGGATCTATTCTAAGAATGGAAAGAGAGGGGTTAAGGAGAATGATGGAGGGGTGAATTTAAGATATATTGTAAGTGCTTTTGTAAATGTTACAATGTACCCCCACTATAACAATAATATGATAAAAAAAGAAGCAAACACATTTGGATACATGAAATTCTGGGGTGGTACATTAGTTAAAATCAATCTCAACACTTAAGTGTATATTGACACACAAAATACATTTTCTTGAAAGCCTTGACTCTGGGGGTAACATCATATGTATGTTGCATTTAGGTGAGCATTTTTCCTATAAAGCATTGAATGCAAAGTTCTAAATATTAAAGGTGTGTCCTATGAAAACACTTCTCTCTTACATATAGATTTAAACAATTTTCCCAACCAGGCATTCTTTGGGGGCCCTTCACATGGTTGAGCTCTCCAGACATTGTGCTGATATTAGCAATCTAACTTTTCCTCCAAAAAAAAAGATAATACAGGAAAAAAATAGACATTGGGACCCTGTCCAGGAAACACAGATTGCAATGTATATCCTATAATTACAGTGCTTTAAAAAATGTGAAAATGAGGCAAAACCTTTACTAAATGCTATTTCCAGAACAAGTGAATTATTATACATTTTGTGAATAAGAAAAAAGAAAAAAAAGTACCTGGGATCTCTCAGCTAGTTTGACATTTTCTGGCATAGTTGCTGCATGCCTCTGCTGTTGGGGTTTCATTTTCTTGTACATAGACTTCTTCATTATTTTGGTCTTTGAAACATATTCTATATCAGGATCTGCACCTTCTGTGTTTCTTTCTTGGTTTCCATGGCTGGCTGAAAACTCAAAGGATGAAAGAGATTCGTGCTTCAAGTCATAAGTGGAAGGCCTGGTTTTCTGAGTTTTGGTATTTTCCTTAAAGAACAAAAAACAATTTTATATTTAGTAGCCAGCTCATTTATATTAAATTGCATTAGTTCATATTTCTTCTCATTAAAAAGTTTGAAAATCAAAAGCTTAGAACATCAACTTCAGCAAGTGTGTACTGTTGCAATGCCTCTATAAGAGTCTAGTCCAGAAATCGCTGCAGAGCTGGGTTGAGTCAAGAGATCTGACCAAGAGGATACAGAGACCCCGAAGAGAGAACACACTTTCTGCATCCTGACTTCCTCCCAACTTACCTTTGACTCTTTGGTTCACATGAGGTAGATCCCCCAAACCTGCACCCATCCCACATTCTGCTTTCTGTCCCTTGCTTGCTGCTGCTTCGACCAATGAAGGAAATATGTTCTAAGAGAGCTAGAGCATGTGTGTCTACTCTTTAGATACTGTCCTTGCCTCCAGAAACCAAAAATTCCTAGATGAAGGAGAAGACTTTAAGGTAGAGCATGCGTGATGGTCTGGCATTCCTAAGCACATCTGTCTAGACTGCCCCCAAAAACCACTGGTTAACAAACCTTCTCCTCAACAGTGCTGTCGACTCAAGGAAGCTGTTTGGCTCCCATCTTCCTTCACAAAACCACCATCATTTGGTAAAGTCTATTACAGTTGTGTATACTGGTTGGTTTGTTTGTAGGTAGACTCCCAAGGCATGAGATTATATTGTAATTACAGAGGCCATATAACAAAACACTTATAACCTTGTTTCCTAGGGCAGGTTACTTGTGGGTGATTTTAGCTGCTCTCCATCCCAGGAAAATTCCTTTCCTGACCTTAATCTCAGATTCTGTTGATAACTGAGTATAAGTAAAATATGTAGACATTAAGCCTGGTTCTGCAACTCCACTATGCAGTGATCTTGGGTAAATTTCTATAAAAGAAGGCAGTTGCATTACAAGTTTATGCTAGTTCCAACTTGGTATTGAGTTCGTGGGTCCTTGGTTCCTTGACATAGTAGCAGAAGATACAAATGATAAGCTAAAAACATAAACTGGTAACAAGTGTTCTAATATTTAAAGTGAATAGTGAGGAAATACCAAGATAGAAATATATTATATACATTTCTGCCTGTTAAGAAATATGAATAATTAACATTGTGAAGAGTTTTTGCACGTCTGTGTGTGTGTCTGATATAAATGAGACACTCTAAGGCTTCACAACTGTTCAAACACAAGAAACAATGAAAGAATTACATAAACAGCATATTTCTAGGCAAATATATACACATAGAATGAATCAATATCTTTCTCTTTCTCCTAATTGAAAACAGTGACAGACTGAGAGTAATCCTATGAAATTCAGACTCAATTCCCAGAGTAGATAGAAAATATTGGAAAGAAATACATTAAAATATTGAAAATTATCATTATATCCAAGCAGAAAGATAATGGATTTCATTTGTGCTTTCTTTTCTATGTTTTCCCTAATAAACATATATCACTCTAATAAGAAAACAATGGCAGTTAAAATCTATACACTTCACTTTCTGAATCTCATAAACATGGTAACATTTTTACCTTGTTAAGGCTTTTCCTTCTATAGAAAATGTTACACAAAGGGTTCTATTTTACTTTAACAACTCACCTTGGGTGCTGAAGCCAGGCAGGTGGAAGTGAACTCAGTGATCTTACTTGCTGGTATAAGTTGAGGCTTTTATGGGGAGAAATTATGAAGGCAAATTTAAGTAAACATAAGTGGCATGTTACAGTAATTCAGTATTCTTCCTTTCTTAAAGAAGCATCAGGATAGCACAAGTCCACCATAATTATTTAAATGTCCTGACATGATATTCTGATTAGTGGTGCCTGGGTAGTGTAAGGGTACCTGATGGTTTGTTGAAACATTACAATCAAATGCCTTACAAGCAACTTCAGAGTACCACTTTTATCAAACCTTCTCTGGGTCCAGCTTCTGCATTCCTTGTTTTCCTTCTCTCAAGACCTCAGCTCCACCACTGCAGGGCCCAGTGTCTTTAGTGAATCCTGACCTGTGGCAGCAGTTCTGTCTGGCTCAGAGCTCTGGGCTTCACTGTGGGCTTGTGAGGGTAACTATATTCCTGCCTATCTCCAAGACCCAGTGGCTATCCAGTTAGAACAACCAGAGGCATACCTGGAATATCCAGAGCACAGCTAGAGAGAAGAGGAGCTCCTTTTAAGCTAATATTTTAATGTGATAACATTACAAAACAGAATATAGCTTAGAAGAAGTGCCTAAATCCTGGAACAGGATTACTGTCCTTGAGATGACACTGTAGAAATTTGCTTGCACCTCCTTGTTGGTGCACTCATTTACTTTACTGGGCAGCAGACTACATCATGGCATCTTGCTCAGTGTACAGATTCTCTAAGACATACTATTTGCCTTGGTATACTCTGTAAATTGGACTGCTAGCTCTGATTAAGGTTGGGATCTGCTTTGTTGAAAAACTTTCTGATGCAGTTTGCCCATATAGATTTTGATATGGTGTCAGTTCTGTGTCCTTGGGTTCAAATGTCTCTTGGTGATGCCTTCCACCTATAGGTAACTTCAAGGCAACACTTTCCAAATAGAATACATTATTTCTCCTCTGTACCTGCACCTGCCCAACCACAATTCCTCCTGTAACTTGTCCCTTGATTGATAGCATCACCAAACACCATGCTACAGGCCTCAGCTATTCTTAGCTCACAGGCACTCTGAACTCCTGTACCTAATCAGTGATTAAGTTCTGTAAATTCTCCACTGAAATCCCCTGTAAATGCAAAACTTTTCAACAGCCTCAAAGTCACTACCTATTTTAAAGGCCTTTGTCATCTCTTGTTTGAGCTACTTTAACTTTCTTGCCTGCTTCTAGTTCGGTGATTTCTCTAGATCTATGCCACAAGCAGTTTCTACACCACATTATTCCCTTCATTAAAATAAAGACGATGACAAAGGACAGGAAGAATGAGGAAGAAGGGTAGCATTCTCAAAACTGGATACATGCTATTAGAATCATCTCATAAGCCTTTAAAAAAAACCTATGCCATGTCTTTAAAATATGAATTCTAACTTAATGTGGAGTAGGACCTGGCATCAGTATTTTTTAATGTTTCCCAACTGATTCTAAAGTATAGTCACAATGGAGAACCCACAAGCCTAGAAGGTAACTCCTCATTTCTTCAGTACCTAGCACATGGAATGGCACATAGACTTTCAATTCAGGTTTACTAAGTGGAACCTAGGAATGCTGGTATGGCTCAAGTGGTAGAGTACCTGCCTAGCAAGCTCAAGGCTCTGAGTTCAAAACCCCAGTACCACCAAAAGTTAAGTTCTACTTATACTAAGTGAAAACTACCTGCACCTAGCATGGATACCAACTGTTTTCAAATGATTACACCTAAGCTTTCTCAATTCCTCTTCTAAGCCATTTTGCATTCCTCTGCCGTCACTGTTGCTCTCATGTTCTCAACGCCCAGTCACATTAATATGACCCATTTTCATCCTGTCATACCTTTGGCTAGCCCATTTCCTTGACCTGGAATATCTTTTTCAATCTTGTCCACTTGCCAAATTCCACTCATCCTTCAAATATCACTTCAAAGGGGCAATTATTGGTTAGGGGGAAGAGGAAAAGAGAGAGTGATGGGAGAGGGAGCTGAATGTGATCGTGTGTGTGTGTGTGTGTGTGTGTGTGTGTGTGTGTGTGTGTTTGAAAACAGTGTAATGAAATATCATATCATAATGAATACCCAGCTAACCTCACATTTTAATGAGATATTCCATTTTTCCCTAATCCTCTACTGCCCAATATTTATCAATAATATGATCCTTCTCAGTAGTAAACTTAGTACTAAAAATGTGTGCTAAACTGCTTAAATGATATAATTTGATCTTCTATTGCAGATGAGGCAAACATTAAACTACCTTTCACACATGATCTCCCTTTTTGGGCGGGTGAATTATCTGTACATTGCCAGGGCATTTACATTTAGTTTGATGCCTAATGTCACAAGTCTTGGTCTCATATTCATTGTTAAATACAGTCAATGCTCACTTCCAGTCCTTTGCTGAAGAATTCTCAGAAATCTCTTGCTGGTTGGAATTTGACCTCTAGCCATTTCTCAAAAAGGAAACTCAAAACACTTTTGAGTACCTTCCTATTTAAAAAAACTTTCTGTAGGCTTTTCATTTGAAGAATAGTTTGATGATTATAAAATTCTTGAGTTAAACTTCCTTTCCTTGAGGATCTTGTGATTCTTACTTCATTGTTGCCAGAGCTGATATTTTTTGTAGAGAAGTTTGATGCCAAACTAAATTGTTTTGTCACTATAAGTGACCTGATATTTACTCCAATGATCAGAGGAATTTGTATTTTTCTTTATGGTCAAGTAGAATAGATTCCAGAGTATCTCTTATTGCTGACTATTCTGGAGCAGTGTTTTCTTACCATGAAGTATACCATTTCGAATCTGTAGCTTCAAGCATTATTTCTTTTCTTGATTTACATTTTAAAAAATATATTTCTCCACTAGTCTGTCTTTCTTTAGGTATTCTAATGATGCATACACGATGTATCCTTTTCCAATTTCTATTTTTAACCTTTTTTTTTGTAATTAGAAGCCATTCTTTCCAAATTTTTATTAATTTTATTTGCTTTTTCATTTTCCCTGCATATCAGGGCTAGCAAACTTTTTCTGTAAAAGGTCAAGTGAATAGACTAGACATTGCAGGTTGCATATGTGTCTTGTATATGTTATGTATTCTTTAATATTAATCTCTCTTTCCTGTCTCTCTTTCTCTTCTACCATCTAAAAGTGTGAAAATTATTTTTAGCTTGAGGACCTAAGTAAGTTGGTGGGTTGGACTGAGCCCAGAGGTAATAGTTAGTGACTTCTCCCTGCTGTGTTTAGCAGAGGGATAATTTGCCTCCAGGCTCTTTCCAATTGTTATGATTTCATTTCTTTCTCCAATTTCTTTCCTGAATTCTAATAAATCATAACTCAATTCAGAGTCTTCTGCTGTTTTTGAATCTCTTCAAGGATTCTTGTATTTCTGTTTTAGGATCTTCCTTCATAAAAATTACTTTTTTGCTGAGGTTTTAAAATCTTATGTGTAAATGTGTATGTAGAATTTCTTTCTTATTTATATCAACTTTTCTTTTTTTTCTGATTTATAGCTTAACTGGGAAGTAACTGATATACAAATAAATAGACATGACTCAAGTATATAATTTGATAAATTTTGACATTGGTTTATTTGTATATACCAATGAATCTGTCATCATAATCAAAGGAGACCGTCCTCAAAGTCCCTTTTATAATGTTTTTATATACATTGCTTTATATATGCCAGAAAAACCTTCCCTACTGCCTCTTCCAACCCTACTCCATCCCTGGACAACTACTGATCTGCTTTCTGTGACTGCAGCTGCATTTTCTAGTATTTTATGTTAATCACAATAATGCAATACTCATCTGTTTTTGTCTAGCTTCTTGGAAGAATTATTTTAGAATTCATCCATGCTGCTGTGTGAGTTGAGTTCATTCCTGTTTTAAACTAAGTCATTTCCCACCGAATGGACATATCACACTTTATCCTTTCTTTTACTGATGGTCATTAACATGGCTTCCAAATTTGGGGTATTACAAACAAAAATACATTGAGCACACAAATACAAATTTATATAGACTTATACTTTCATTTCTCTTGGGTAGTACCTAGGGGTGGAATGCCTATCATATGGTAGGTATATGTTTAACTTTTTTTGTTTTTGTTTTGAGATAGGGTCTTGCTATGTAGCCTAGGGTGACCTCAAACTTATAATCCTTCTGCCTCTGCCTTCTGAGTACTGGTATTACAGGTGTGTGCTACCAAGTCTGGTTTGTTTTTAAAAAATTGCTAAAGTGCTTTCCAAGGCAATTTCATCATTTTATGTTTTCAATCATTTCACAGTATGATTAAGCATTTTAATTTTATTCATTGTAGTTAGCATGTAGTGATGTCTCATTGTAGTTATAATCTGCATTTCCTAATGATTAATGACTAATATCTTTTCACGTGTTTGTTTGTAATCCGTATGTCTCTTTCGGTGAAGTGCCTTATTATTGAATTTTAAAATTGTTATATATTCTAAATATAAGTCCACTGGCAGATATTGTTTTGCAAATATTTTTCCCAGTGTGTTGCTTGACTTTTCAGTTTCTTAACTGAACTTTTAAAGAACAAAATTTTCAATTTTGATGAAGTAAAATTTTCATTTTCTTCCTGTATGGTTTAAGCTTTTGTGTCAATATGCAAAAAATATATGCCAAACCTAAGGTCACTAAAATTTCTTCCTCTATTTTCTTCTAGATGGTTTATAGTTTTTCTTACATTGAGATCTATGATACATTTCAAGACAACTGTGTAGATGGCACAAGAATGAAGGTTATTATATTGATGGGATTTATGGCTAGCCAAGTTTTTAATACACTTTATAGGGAACAGTATTCTTTTTCCCACTGAAATGTCATGGTCTTTTTCTTGAACATCAACTGAGATGTATGTGTGGTTCTATTTCTTGAATCTATTCTATTCCAATGCTCTATTTATCTCTTTTTACACCAAAAAAATCTTAATTATAGTTTTAGAATGCATATTAAAATTATGTAAAATGACCCAAACAATGTACACACATGTGACTAAATGAA